CACACAGACAACCCCGTAACAATATGCGTTTTGTACTGCTGTTACACAGCGCAAAACGCATAAAAAAGTCTGTGGCACTGCGTAACGTCATGTCACGTCATGCGGCGTGCGTGACGTAATTTTTGGGAAGAAAACTGCGCAAGGTTAAATAATCTCAAAGTAATAGGCCCCGGAAAATTCAGAATAATGTCTATAGTGCAATCCGTAGTAATGTGATCCGAAAAATTTTTCAGACAGGACAGCTGACCCCTTAAAAATTCGGGACATTTCCATTTGAACTACACAAACCGAATTTAAACGAATGCGAGAAAGTGTAGAAGCAAAAGAAAAGTCTAAAAACTAACTGTATCAGCAAACAATTGCAGGAATCGCTTTGTGAGACTTCTTAGCTAACCGGATAATTTAGTCATGTCAAGAACTCACAGATGTTTATGCATAGGAGATCAGTGATCAGGCACGGTAGTACGCGAATTTACATTATTATTTATTAATGTTAGCTGCCGGTGTAATTATTGGCTTCATTAGGTACAAATTATATACTACACTTGTTTTTGCTCATTTTTTTGCTTTTCTGGCAGTCTATTCTCGTTTTCGATGGAAATGTTTTATGTTATTATGTCTTTACAAAAGCTAATGATTATTTGTGGCAAGTAAGCAAAACTATTGCTCCAAAAGAAAAACCAAAAACTATTCAAGTTTTGGAACGGTGCAAAGCCAGAAGTTTTTTGTCGAGCCCCTATGTTCTGACCACTGAGCTTGGGTTTCAAGTTGAACTTATTTTTATAAACAGGACACAAACAAAGCTGCAAGCTTAAGATATCGAAGCTTTAATTCGAAGTGCAAAAAATCCGTAAATCAGTTTTCGAAGTTTAAAGCATCCTCGATCTACTGCCACGGGTGTAAAGTTAGGTGATTTCGAGATTTCGGGAAAGAGGAAGCTGGGAAACATTCGGAATTTTGAGCTTACAATTAGCCTATAAGGCAGCAAGAGCTTGATTTCATAGGTCACTTTGACTATACCCGACAGTCAAAACTCATTTTAGATTTTATGCGTCTTTTGCATCCATGCAAGGAAAAAATGCACACTGCGGAGGGGCTGTCTGTATGTGTATGTGTGCGTGTATGCGTCTGTACCGAGTTTTCATTTCGAGATCTACAAAAGCTACAAGGTTGAAACTTTAGCAACTTAATCTATACATACGTACGGGCCAATCTACCTTCAAAATGGACATTTATGTCTACGTGGTTCCCACGTATGGACACGTCAAAATTCTTTGGTGGGAAAGTGTTACCCTGGCCATGCATTACCAACCCTTTGCTGAACCTCATTTTGTCCATGCATGGAAAAAGATGATAAGATAGAACTGTGGTTTGAAAATTTCGATGATTCGTATCTTAACGATTTGCCTGAGGATCAAACTGGGAGGTAAAAAATGTAACAGAGTGAATCTTAAAAACTTTGGCTCTTATGGTATTTTGCATTAGGGCTAAGAATTTGCTGCTTTGTTTTAATATTTCTTCGATTTGAAATCAACTGATCAATTTATGGGCTCAAAGATTGAGATTGATAGATGTGTAAGTGATAATAAGACCAAACGCGGCATGTTGTTCACTCCTGCCTTCTTACATCCAAATAAGCAGCACGTTTCCCGTTAATTTTATTTGATCGACAATTAAATAGGTAGAGGAGTAAATCCCTTATATTCCTTTTTTTCGTCACAGGTTATCAAAATATTAAATGCTATTCTGCAAGAAATTTTTTGGTTTGGTTTCAGAAATCATTTGCTTTTTGTTTAAAAATACTAAATTGAGGGGCTGGCCCCCTTTCGCATGAAGTCAATCCTCCTATTCTATAAGAATACTCAACACTCAGCATTTATGAGCATAAATATGCGACGAATCTGTGTGCTGGTTTTAGCGCAGAATAATTCAAAAAGAGCTGAAAAGAATGTTTACAAATGCAAAATCTATCAACAGGCCACAACAAAGCGGCAAAGCTGACCGGAACAGAAATGGCGCAGTGGTTATTACTGCTTCTTCAGCTTGTTGAAATTATTAATATGTCTGCTGCTACTGGTTTGTCAAGCAATTCAGTATAATAAAATCGATTTTTTTAAAATTATTCACCATAAAGATGATGAAACAAATTGTGGTTAGCTTGCTGCTTGAAGCAAAAAAAGAGTTGGTAACACTGTAAAGGAAATCCACTGCTCTGCCAGTCAAGCCAGTATCTTCACAAATTCAAAAAAAAAAAAAATCCCATATAGTTGGGCAATGTATTTTTCGTAATATGGCTGAAATGGTTTTTCACATTTTGGCACTTCGATCAGCTGTTTTTTTTCTGTCCCTTATTTCTGACCATGACATATCGTCATTGCCTATTTTGGACCTGTCTCATCCACATAATTCGATGTTACTATTCATGAAGATTCTTCTGCCCTTTCGTGTTCCTTTATCACAGTACGGGGCGCCACATAATAATCCCTCATTTTTTTTTATACAAGCTGTTCATAAAACAGTGGGCGATGTAAAATGTGAGGAATGTCATTCTATTCATTTGAGTTATGGCTGCGACTTCAAAAACAAAACATGCCAGAAATTTAAGACTTAGACGGCTTATAAATATCATTCAGGACAAACGATTACCATGATTCAATAAGACTTTCTTAGAAATTACGAACAACACAGCGATCAACACGTTTTATTTAAATTACTCAAAAACTTGGTATCAGTTACAGCTGCTAAAATTTGCCAACTGAACTGCATCGCTATTTTTCTGATTCCTTGAAATCTTCAAGCCCAGGATTGTGGCCAAAGTGAGATCGCGGAATAATTCTGTAAAACATTCGTTTCCAGTAGCTGTTGAGGCAAAAGTCCAACCTGTAATTTGGTTAGCCCGAAAAGTAGTTTTTATTTACTTGCAGTTAAAAAATTTGTAACAAACTAAAGTTACTGCAAACAAAAGACTTTAGAATGCCAGGATATAGCGGAAAATGCTGGCGGTAAACCGATCTACTTGCAAGCTAATTATGCGGCAAAGCATTCGCCCGGTTCGATTGCATTCATGGTGTGTAATTTTGGATATCTTAACTCGTTTCCGCTTTCTGTTGTCTGTCAAACAAGTGGTAAATGGAGTGACAAACTTGGTTAGTTTTTTGCATTCCATTTTGCTACTGCGTATTAAATATTATATAATAAAAATCTTAGCCTAATTGGTACATTTGCCACAGTGGTTTTTGTACAGTTGGCGCACGATTAGGTTACAGTGCAGTCCAGAGGAAGAGCACAGAATGAGATTTACAAAAAATAACTTCGAATTACAAAGCTTCTAGACAACAAATATTTCCGCTTTAAAGCATCGATAATGTTAGCATTCGACGATGCATTACCAAGACTACCAAAATTGTCCGGGAAGATCGCCAGGTACTCTTTCGGCATCCGGAATGAAGTGATTTGCGAGTTCATTTATCGCTAGGGGTTTACAGTTGTAACTGTGCATGAAGGAGGTAAGACTGTTTCGTCCCGGAACAACTTGAACAATTGGAGTCCTTAGCGCCCTCTCGTCCGATCGCTGTCCGATGCACTGCTGCCGTTCCGGAATGAAGTGAGTACAGAGATAAATGTGGAGCAGGCACTAGAAAACATGAAACGCTACCTATTATTTGCTTCAGAGCTATCTCTGCGCAGTGCATTTAAGAGTGCGTTGAATTTTTTTATTTTTTTTGTAGAGCTGTATTACCTTTACATCACGACCAGTTGATAGCAAAACTAGCAGAAGAAACAACTTTGTATCGTTAAGGTTTCACCGCACAAACTGCGTCGTAGTACTTTCTCAGCACTTTTCAGTTTCTGAGTTTGACACCTGCCGTGCTCCACTATCGCCTGCTTCGTAGTAATTCCTTTACTTTGATGTATGTTGTCCGAGGAACGGGGACGGAGAGGAATTTGTCAGATCAGTTCAAATGAACAAAAAGCAGTGGTTAAATACACAAACAAATCAAGGTTGTTACGTACCGTCATCAAGGTTGTTACATAATTTTCTCACCCAATGAAATTATCTCCAGTAATTTCTATCAACTGCTGGTAACAACAGCCAGTCTGCTAAGAAAACAGCTACACTGCTTCTTTCATATGCTTAGCTCTAAATCAGACTAACCCGCGGAACAGTAGGCTGAGGATAAAGGATTTTAAGTTCGAGCAGTGTTGAATAAATACGAGTCTAATCATGAGCGATTCACTAAAGAAGTCCAGAGAACTGCGATCGGCACAGAGAACAGGGCGACTGATTCGAGCTTCAGTTGTGCCAGATGCATGGGCTATGTTTTGAAACTTACAAACCGCTATTTCTGATGCACTGAAAATTCCCAGGGGGTCCAGAATCACAGGTTGATGACGCTTGTATCGTAGCAGGTATTGATAGTGCGTATGTTGCAGGTGAGTGCTCACTGATCGGCGATCAAAAGAGAATTAGCTGCAAAGCTCAGGATGTTCCCTCCGATCAAGTCACATACTTTCCAGTGAGCTTTCCTTTCATTAATAGCATGTAGTTAAAAGACAAAAGAAAAAAACCACATAGTGCTTTATCCAAACTTTTTTCAAATAGCGCACCCTTTAGTAGTTGTGTTGGAAATAGGCAACACAGTAGCATTTTAGCAAAACAGCCAGTCAACTGACCGCTGGTCGATTACGACCTGTAGTTCTGTCGGACGGCTTATCACAAAAGGAAACGCCGATGGGGCTGTGTATTTACGCTGTCAAAACTGGAAGCGCCCGGATTTAGCAAGCGAAAGGCACAGTGCTGCAAGCATCAATTGCCTAGCGCTACAATCGCCTGTTCTCCAAATTCAGTCTGACCGTCTCAACTCAATTATCAGTGCAGATGTCGCCAAAGTCGTCGCCATTTTTCATTCATCAAATTTCAGTAGAATTCACTTATGATTACGAAAATTTGAAAACGCCGTAACTTCTTCGAAAACATTAAAATTCTTGTCCTAGATGACGGGATGCGCACCATGTACTTCCGTTTCTGTTTTTATTAAGTTTCTGACTGGAAACATGCGGAAAACATCATGTGCCATAGCTGCACACAAGGCGACTTTTCCCACTCATACGGATGCTTCGCCTCTGAATCGTCCCTTCATGTCGATCTTTCAATTATTTACTAATAACTGTATTATGATAGCAGTATTTTAATCTGGAAAATTTGAAGCGAGTTGCCGCAGGCAATGTAAGTTTTTTTGTCACCATGCCTGTAGTAATTTTCTGAGTATTCACTCACTTGAGCTTCTTTCTGTCTCTCAAAAAAAGATGTGTCGCACTGGTCAAGTAATTGTTGCCTGGCTTTCACATGTAGTCGCACGAGCGTAATTTGCCGAATGCTTCTTTAAAACATCAGTCGCACGGCCATGAATCTTTAAAACGCGTTTTTAAAAATTTCACCAAAATTTGATTCTCCGTGACAATATTTTAGGATGTTGCATCTCAAAATTGATGGACTCATTAAGGATTTATTGGCCATCCATCGTCTGAAGCTCGACACGTCACTAATATTTTATTAATTTATGACTGAAGTCAACGAAGCATGCTTCGTTTACTGTCACTTTCTCGAGTACCACGAACTGCCTAAAATCCAGCTTTCTCTTTCAGGCGGAAGTCTCCACCGAATATCCATCCGGAACGTTGGCTGCGCTGCGCTGCGATCTTGGTGCAGTACCCACTGGAGCTATTTCTGCATTGTGTTTTAACGGCAAGTGGAGCGCAACACTGGGCACGTGCAAGAAACTGTATGGTGAGACCGCCACCTCAGGTCCGAAACCCGTCCTTGTAACTGGATCTGGGAAAAACGAGTCCAAAGCAGAACAAGCAAGCGAAGTTGTATCAACATCTGGTGTTTTGTCTGGAGCGACGCAACTAGGTGTAACTGCGGATTCTTCGTTCGGCGCTGCCTCATTAACTCAGATTCCAACAGTATCCGTACTTACTGCAGTAACTGAACCGATTAGTAAAGCAACTAGTCTGGTAGAAAGTGCGAATCGTGTAACAGAAGCTGCAAACTCAGAAACAGAATCGATTGCAGCTGCTGCAGCTGCAAAAGTTGATGCTGCTGTTTCTGAAGCCAAAAATATCGTAAATGCTGTAGCAGCTACTGCACAGTCTGCAGCTAATGAGATCACTGTTTTTGCTGAAAACGCTGTCAATGAACTCAATGCTACTGCTGCAGGAACTGTAGCGAGCCAGTCTGCAGAAGTAATAAAAGCTGCAGCGGATACGGTTTCGAATGCATCCGTTGCGTCTGTCACAGCTATTACCGAAGAACCCAAAGTGGCTGATGAAGGAGCAACCTTGAAAGAAATAGCAACGGATATGGTGCTAGCAGGGCTCTCGAACGCTACTGAAGCGACTGCTGCTGAAATGACTCCAAAAGGCGGTATCTCCGAAGGAGCAGATGTGATACTGGGGGCACTGGGCGTTGCTGGAGTGAATGCATACTCTAAAGTGACTTCAGGCTCCATATCTGGTCTTGGAAACGAGGTGGACAGAACTCCAGCTTTGCAGGTGACAGCAGCATTATCATCGACTGCGCAGAAATCAGCACCAACAACAACCTCAGCCACCACCCGATGAGCTTATCAGACTACAACTTCATTCTTTGAAGCTAAAAGTACGTGGAAGGAGTTGAAATTTATTTCCTTTAATTCTAAATGTTTGCAGTTCATAAATGTTTTTTTTTAAAATCAGCCAGCAATTCATATGCGCTGAAAAGCCATGAATATTTTTCGACGAAAACATGGTTTAACTTTAGTTTTCTTTTTTAAGGAAGATTCATTGGCAAGTTAACCTATTTTTTTTCAAACCACTTTTTATGAAAAGCTTTCAGTCGCAGCTTATAGCACTTTGTAAAACAAACTACCTACGGTTACCTTCGCTCATCATTACTCTCCAGTACAAAAATAAACACAATTTCAAACTAAAATTTTGCAAGATATCTTTCATCTCCCCGTCTACCCCTCATTTTACCCTTCTTAATGCACTAGTTCTAAAAGGAAAAATCCAAGATTTTTTACCAGATGTGTAGCGCAATGTATTTATACTTCCTCAAATACCGCTTAAATTACAATGCCATAAAAAATGAAGCGGTGTATTTTATAAGACTATAAATATTGCTTCATTTCATGCCAATAGCTGATCTATTTTCTTTCGCCACTACTGCTGTTATAAAATCATGAGTTCCTTTTTCTCAGCTATCTACATTCGCGTGTATCATTTTTGATCATAGTGGCAAGTATCTAGAAGACAGAATATTAATTCACGGAAATTTTGCATGAAGTGCTCAACAACTTTGGAAATTCCCAGTGGCAAAATAAAATAACAATAAATTAAAAAATAAAATGTAGTCAATAGAAGCCTAGCTGAACTGCAGCAATAAATACTTTAGTCAAGCCTCCTGTGCACGCTACATGCGGGACGTCACATGTAGAAACTCTCTCATTTCGCACTTTTTATGCGTTTTGCGCTATGTAACAGCTGCGCGAAACTCATATTGTCACGCCCATGTGTGTGTGTGTGCCTGAGTGCGTTTTCTCCCGCACATTCACTCGGGAACCACAAAAGCTAGGAAGCTGATATTTCAGGAGAATGTTTTTCGCCCACGTGCCACCCGGCAAATTTAAAGTCAGCCTTCAAGCACACCTGGATCTCACGTACGGCCCCATGAAGATTTTGGCGGGGAAATGGTTATCGTGAGACTCAGGCCAGCTAGGGGGCTGAAATTCTACAAGGATGTTTTTTGCCTATGCAGAGGCCTCACAGGCTCAAATTTAGCTCTAGGTCTCATGTACGGCCACAATGCTAAAATCACTAAGTCGAAAGCCAGACAACTACGGAACTGAAATTTTGGAAGGATGTACCCCGTCCATATGCGATCCAAAATATTTCAAATTCAGCTTTCACAAACGCTTACATTTGGTGAAATTTATGGTGGAAAATTTCACAGTTTAGGAATCAGACAACATATCGACTATTTTCGAACACATGCAAATGTTAAATGCTGAAAATTCTTAACAGCAAACGCCTGTTGAACGCATCTACGCAAAACGCATTGCACTGGTTACCCTAGTGCCCGCCGCGGTTTATTGTAATATGATTTTAGAAAAAGTTGATCCAAATTCAGATGAGCTTGGATATACAAAAGCTTCGCCAGTGAAGTTTTCAAACTTTTCTAGACTTCAGCTTTCCCGCCCAGAACTCAAAACGGAAAAATTATGATCAAAGAAAACCGCATTATATACTTTTCAGACAGAATTGGAAAATTCCGAATTTCGTCAAAAGTTTTCTCAACTTTACTAAACTGCATCACCATTTTACAAAAAAAAAGTTTTATGAAATTTATTCGATTTCATCATCCTTATTAAATTTTTAAACTTTTTTTAAAAACAATCTCATAAATCCATTCTCTACTTTGAAAATAAAGCCAAACCTGCAAATTTTTTAAATCTGCCGCTTCCTCTTGTACCACTCCATCGCCAACAGCCCCCACACCGATTGTCCGGACAGTCATGGTATTCTTTAGTATATTTGCAGAAATCAGATCCGTGAGTCGTATTTCACGTATGATAAGAGGAAAGTTTAGCGGATTCAAAATCCCCAGAAACGTGCAGTCATTTTACTCGATCCAAATAATATGACGAGGCATAAAATTCAGCGAAGAAAAATCCATGGTCTACTTGAGCATCAAGTCCCATACGCCCCGACATGAGAATTAGAAAGGCGATGATCAGTTTCATGCTTTCTGACCCGGTTGATGAATAAGTGGGCGCTTTTTTACATCGCACATATGCAAAAAAAGTGTATTGACTATATAAATGGCTCGTGACATATACCACAACTAAGTTATTGAGAAGACAAGAGCAAAAAAAAGCGCAGTTAAAGAGATTATAGCAGCCATTTTGGTAGCATATGGCACATCGCTGCAAATTTTTTCGAAAGAAAAAGTCTTTTCATATACGCCTTATTACCTTCAACTTGCACAGGTATCCTGACATGTATGTCCACAAAAATGATACAACTGGAACTGATCAAGACTCTTCTGCAAATACTTCGGTCTGATTTGATTTTATTTATTTGGTCAAAAATCGGAGTGTCAAGATCTGGAAGCACAATTTAACGAAAAAAGGCCCTGTCTGGGCGATAGAATCATCTTTCTGAGCGGATCCTCGTCTATTTCCCACCAGACTTCGAACCCTTGTTGAACATCCAATCCATCATACCCATTTTGTATGCCGCGAGAGTCGTGAGTACCGTGGATACCGTGATTATTAGCATCTTTTTGTTCGATTTAGCTCCTCCGCCGCTGAACATCTTGACCTTCTCCTTCGTAAAAGTGCTAGGCTCGGTACGACAAGCGATTCAAAGCAGAATAATCGCGAAACTGTGGCCAGAAAAGACGCAACCACAACACAAGACAGCGGGCAGTGAATGATAACAGTGCCATGTTGCTCGATCCCATTGCTTTTTATGCTGATTGATCGGCGCAGCACTGGCAGCTGCCAATATGCTGATTTTATACTATTCACAGTTCATGATTTGCATCCCTTCAGACTGGATCGGGAGCGCAGAATAATCTAGGCAATTACTTCTCACCACCGTTCCTCTGTGCCACTGTATCACCCCTTCTGCGTGAGTTTATAGTTTTCAGGATGTCTAGAACGATTGTAAATAAGTATTTTCAAAAATAGGCGCATTTCCTCAAAAAATCTTCGAAAAATCCCGTTTTCTCTGAATTATGCCTTTGTCACCATTTCTTTTTTCGTCCTTTGTCCAAGTGGACACTACAAACTACTCGAAAGAAGCGAAAAACATGGCATAGCCTCCTCATATTTCATATAATTTATTTTGTTTGGTTCCAGTGCATAAGAGTTGTAAGTAAAAAACAAGAGCTTCCATAAAGTTGGCGTAATTGGAATTTCAAAAGCGACACAACACTCCATGTATTTGAGCAATGAAGTGAACAGTCGCTAAAATTTCACTTGCAAAATTGTTCTTCTGCGGGCTCTCGGATGACACAAACTGTAAACCACCGCAGCATCATCATCATCATCCTCTAAATATCACTTTGACCTTTCTCACATATCCGTCCGAAGGTAATGGCTACGTCTTTGGGTAAACAAGTTTTATGCGGAAGGAGTTTGGTTCGAAACATTTTGACAAAGATGAACATACTGCTTTATTCTATTAGTCATCATGCCGAGACATGATGCGAACACAAATTGGGTGTAAGAATAATGACGCTGGAATGGTGGCTGGACATCAGATGCTAACTAGCGACATTTAAGCTAGGGCAGAAAAGCTTGACATAGCTACGCTTAGCGGTGGTTTCACACTTTCGATCAGATAGCTACAGTGATAGAGCTGTTAAATTTGAATATCAACTGTGCTTCTGTTCCAGCGTAACCGATTGCCCAAGTGATTCAAATAATTCAAGCCATTGAAATTCAACATATTTTTAGGTTCCGGAACTTCCCGATTACTGAAAAAATTGAAAACCAGATATTCTTTTTGATTTAAAAATATATTTTGTTATCGTACACAAAACCGACCATATTGTTCGTGTAATTTGCTGTTAGGACAAGTAAACAAACAAGTCGTAAATATTTTGCAACAAAATAATAGCTAAAAAACAAGAGAAATGTTTGTTGTCAAATAAAACCACACAATATCTCGATTAAAGCTGGAGAGAAATGTTTGCCCAGCTGCCTGGATCCCTATATAAAATGAGGTGTTTTGTAAAGTGATACTGCTTAAAGTCATAACCACATCCAAATGCTTTTGCACTTGCTTTTCCTCGGAGTATTTATAAGAAGTGGAGATTTTGCGCAGTCAGTGTCATCTTCCGGTAAGCTCTTTGGCGCATTGAAATCCCTCTTTTACTAGAATTCCAAAACTCAGAGACATAATGTAACATTCCATTATTGCAAAGCCACACTCACTGATAGAATTTAGTACAAAAACCTGTTCCAGTCTGGTTAACGTCTATCGATCAAAACGAAGCACTCCGTTATCATCTCAGAGTATGAAACTTGGAACAGTTGAGTTCAGCGTGTGACCCCACCCTTGAATGCAATATGTGTGTTGAGGTATGATTGAGAATGAGTTATTTTCAGGCAGTGAAGCAACCTGCCCGCCGATCACGCTTTCGAAAGGCTCTGCGATTTACTTTCAGGTAAGTATGAAAAACATTGCTTTGCCTATCAGATGTAAACAGCAAAGCAATCACATTCGACGACTTCGAATTCCCCAAACAACAGAAATTAGTTTTAGCAAATGGCGAAACGTGCTGCGCAGGACTGCAGCATTTATGTATTTTTGCAGTCAACCGCTGCAAATGTGGAGCCATGTCATTAGTTGCAGATCGGGAGACTTTGTTTCCATAATGGCCGCCGCGCTTTCAGAGAAAAAAAAACGTGTAGCGATGGCTAAGCCAGTACTGGAACTAACGTCTCGCGGTGGAACGGGTGGTATTGCTGCATTTTTCCGCGCTGCTTCTTGCTCAGAAATTAAACAGATGCTAAAACAGCCTCACCTGTACCAATGCGTTACAGATGTTATTTGGGACGCGATCAATCTCTTACAAAATGTTGTTTGATCGACCACTTGCTGAACTCCTTGGTCCTTATGCAGGCAATTCGACAGCCAAAAATGAGGTCACATAACCTTTTTTCTTAAATTGTTCCACTGGCGCCAAGGGTTAGACGACTATTCATTGGGCACTCCTTGTTTTGTTTTGTTCACTTCAGATTTCATCTCACTGCAAAAACGTATGAATCCCACAGAATTCCTAATCTACGCCTTGTAGGATTTTAGAGATTTATTTTTTCAGGATACAGACAGTGAGCAATACGTTACAAACACGATGGCTGTCATAATTTGCCCGCTTGGACAAGTGCCGAGCGAAAGTCTACTCTCATTCTGTAAAAACGGTGCATGGGCACCATCATTCGGTGTATGTGAGCCACTGTTACCAAAAGTTGCTAGCAAACTGATCAGTTTCATATTGTGATTCTCATTCTGCTTCCCAGTGTCTGGAGCTCTTTATTGGTAATGACAATAAAATTAAACATGGACACTTTGTTCTTCGAACTTCAAGAAGAGTGATACCCAAACCAAAATCAATTTAATTTTTGTCTTGACTTAAAGCTACGGATCTAACTCTCAGCTAGTGTCGTTATTTGGTTTAGAAAAGCGCTACTATCCGATATTTGCAAATTATTGCTCTTTTTCTTAGATCCATTAAAAAAACTCTTTAAAAAAGGACAGAAATGCAGTTCCACATATAGTGTAAACGTAGACTGGAACGCACCAGGCGAGCCGGAGCGATCATGCGTTTTTGCACAAAACTTGAATTA